CCCTGATCAGCGCTCAGGGCTCTCTGTCTGGCATTGGAGTGGCCGGCCTTTCGCCCCTGAATACGACCTCCTGCCGGCCTTGTTAGTCTTTCACCCTATGCCCCGTTCCCTGCCCGCGCCACCGGCAGGCCCTATCAAACGATTACGTTTTTCGTAAACATGGGTCCAAAGGTCATGACTGTTATTCGGAAACGGGTATCATGAATGTCATGTTCGGAATAGGAAGACGACATATCGAGATTACCCTTAAAAATGTAGTGAAAAAGACTCTCTCTCTTGTCAAAAAAGACTCACGCAATACACTCTCATCTTGTTCAAAGGCGTAATGCTTTCCATAGTTGGCACCCTTTCCAGTATCGCATGACTCTTTCAAAAAAGCGGGTTGATAGGGGTCAGATCATTTTCTTATCATGCTAAGTGCAACAGAAATGTTCAAGTGAAAAGCGTACCTTTATGGCTTGACTTCACACTTCAAGCAGCCTGTACTGTACCTGTACCTGTGGGGTCCAAATCTTGGACAGTAAAACAATTTTGGCCCTACCCGATACTCAAAACGTAAGTCTCAAGTAAGTCAGTCTCAGTCTATAAGTGTTACACTTAAAGTGTAAGTATTGCGTGGTATGCATTGCGTATTTCAGTTGGCGTGGACAAAAGGCTTGGGCCAGGCTCAGCCCTGCCTAGGTTTCGCCTGACTTTGGGTAGCCAGGGCCCAGCTGGCGCCCTGTTCGAGCCCAGCCGAGGCCGTGTCAGAGCCCATCGCGTGCCGCGCCCTGCTGCGCAGCATTCTCGCTGGGCCCATGCCTGACATGGGCTTCTTGCCAATTGGTATGCAGCGCGCGTACCAGATGGAGCCGGACAGACTACCAGATGGAGCCCAGCGCCTGACAGGCCACGCCGATACACCTTAAGCTGCGCCCCAGCTGGAGCCCAGCGCCTGCCAGGCCACGCCGATGCCCGATATTTGCCACACATGCGCCCAGCTGGTGCTCAGCTAAGCCACAGGTAGACTGCGACCAGGCCGTCGCCCACCAAAAAAAGTTACGAGGGCCACGGCCGGGCGGCCCGTCTGCCGCCCGCCCGAAGCCATGATAAAATGCTGCCGAGCATTATGTTAAGGTGATTGTGACATCAGCGGCTCTGTGTCATGCGCCCAGATATTTTGCTTAGAAATTACCTCTTGCCATCTCGCTTTCGTATACGACATGCCCTCCCCGGATTTCTTTAGAGCTTCAAAGTATATGTGAACAATGTTGGCGATTGCGTTGAAATTCTTGCGTGAAGTAAATTATCCGTTTCACGAAGGAAGCATGCAGTATGGAGCTAGTTACTGCCATATCGTCCCATGGACGCTGCATTTGTCTTTCTTTCCCATCACGGCCATGTTAAATGTTGCGACACTGAAAAGAGGAGTGGCATCTGGGGAGCATCTGCCCTCGCCAGGCGCGGTGTGGACAAAGAGTGGTTCTCATACAACTTATGAGCTGTCCCTGTGATATCCGTGAATGCTGGCATTTTGCCATTCCCAGCTGGTGACCCCTTTTTAACCAAGCTAATGACCCTGTTCGCGTGCCGTATGGGATGCGAGGTGTAGGGACCACTCGACCGTCGTCACGCCCTTTGCCTTGCAATTAGTCATTAGGTAGGTACCAATCTGCTGGGAGCCAGAAGACAGTGATTCTTGGGACCAATAAAAACAGCCTGAAAATGAAGACGCAGTTCTTCGGGTCAAGCAGCTTGCAGACCAGGCCATTGCCAGGTAGGTCCACCCTGCCACCGGCCATAGGTCATTGCACTGGCCATTGCCAATGTCAGTTGAATAAATTTCCATCAGCTAGTGGAATTTCAAAAAAGTTGTTTAGCTAGTGGAATTGTGTAACAATATTCCTTTTGGGGTTTTCTGTCACTTTGATGTGTATCAGGTTTCTAAGTTGGACTTGTTAAGATTGTATGCCATGAAATATCTGCAAATCGTGCAATAATTAATGGATTTCATTTCAGTGAAATCATTTTCTTAATTGCATGCATGTATGGAGTTGCCAAAACTGCATGCACCTAAGAGATAAAGCAACTTGTATAATAGGAATGTTATATCTTTTTCATGTGATAGTCTGTGCTGTGGTGCATCATCAGTTGCACATGATCATTTAGTGACCATTCCTATTGTTCCATTGGTATTAATATCCAGTCCAATTATTATTTATCTGTGATTTTGATCTCAATCCTTGTTGCACTTTTACCCCTGGTTGCTTTTATGGTCATTACTCTTCTTCACACTTAATAAAATGGTCAACAGCATGACAGCATGCTTCATGTTGTCTTGATGTAAAAGGCTGTGAAGGCAGGACTCAAGGTATACAAATTGGGTACATTTGGTGGCACAAGCAGCAAGATGCTCAATTGATGCAAGGTGCTCAATTCATCACATTGGTGGGGTTTATACTGATATTGATCAAGGTTCACCCATTACTTAATGAGATGTGCCTGAGGTTTGACATATAAAGACCAATTCTGCACCACTCATTCTCTCATCTTGCAGTTGGCCAGTATCTGATATATTTGAAGAGTGACAATTTAATATCTTTGAAAAGTGCCAAGCCTAACTAAAACAACAACAGAGCTGAGTCTACTGTATAGATTGCATGATAAGGTTCACCCATTACTAAGTTGATGCACTTCCATAATAGGGCATGTTACCTATGGTGTGAAAGCATGACATGGTAGTCTTGAACATTGCATAGAATGCAACACCATGTTGTCACCACACTGCTGCTTAAAATTGTTATGCCACACACTTCAGTCTGAGCTATTTTGTTTGCCAATCTCACAGTGTCACTGCTATTGTGAATGTTAACAGGCATAAACAATGACTGCTGTCAAACCATCAAGAGTTTAAAGAGGATGTTTAACAGATCAAACAGGCTTAGGCCAAGCAAATCAGAGCCCAACACAGGGGTATCTCCAGGATTTGATGTGAAGGGTAGGGACACTAGGAGTGAATGAAAAATGGTGGGACTGGTCATTTGGGGGCCAGGGTCTTTAAAAAGCATGGTCATCACTACTGCCAGGGTGAGGTCAGCATGCTGAAGTTCATTGAGATGAGTGCCAGGAGGCCATATTTATTGATGCTATCAGACCTCTGTCCTCCACCATCTGTGCCCCCTCCCCCTACTTCCTTTGCTTGTTAAGGCACTGCCCCTTCACCCAAGAACCCCTCACATCCTTACCTGCTCCCCTGA